CTATGGAAAGTAACTATGCATTACCACATGCCCTCGCAATTCCACTCCTAAGTATATATTAATACCTCATGGAATTGAAAACAAGGACTTAAATGGACGTTCATAGCAACATTACTCATAATAACCAAAAGGTAAAACAAACCAGTGTCCATCAATAGATGAATGGATAAATAAAATGTAGTAGATACATACAATGGAATATTATTCAGCCTGTATAAGAAGGAATGGAATTCTGATACATGCTACAATGGGGAGAAGCCTCAGAAGCATGCTAAGCGAGGTAAGCAGTGAAGGACCAAATACAATGTGATTCTACCTGAATGAGGTATGCAGAATAGACAAATTCTTAGAGACAGAAAGCAGAGTGGATGTTACCAGGATCTGGAAGGAAGAGGAATGGGGAGTTAGTGTTTAATGGGTACAGTTTCTGTTTGGGATGAAGAAAAATGTCTAAACTGAATATTAGTGATGATTACACAACCATTGCAAATGCACTTAATGCACTGAATTGTATACTTAGTAAAAATAGTGTTTCATCTTATATATATTTTACCACATTACACACACACACACACACACACACACACACACACACACGATATTATGATTAATTTTACCTTGTCATCCCAAACCAAAAAGCTGAGTTTATTCTGGGGGTTTCATGGATCCTGTTCTTACTCCAGGAAACTCTCAGGAGGGTGGTGCAGTTTAAATATTCTTGAAATGCCTCAGTTGGTTAGAGCACCATCCCCATACACCTTGGTTGCAGGTTTGATCTCCGGTCAGGGCACACCCAAGAAGCAACCAATGAATGCATGAATTGGTGGAACAACAAATGGATGTTTATATCTCCCTCCCTTCCTCACTCTCTAAAACCAATTAAAAAAAGAAGAAGAAGGAATGGCTTTGTGTTTCAGAGATAGTCCATGGTCAGCAATAAGTTGGTACATGACAGACTGACCAATCCTACATCAAGCAAGAATTAGATAAATGTGTATTTTATGTCTACATGCTGGATTTGTGAAGGTGTTCAGACTTAGCCTCAGAGATGAGATAGGATATGTATGTGAAGCAAGTAGGGTAGCATGAGGTATTTCTCTTTGGTGCAAATTAGCTACAAGTTAGTTATTTTTGTATATCAGGAGTAAATCAGAATAAAAACGAAGCTGTAAACCTTTCACATTTTTGCTGCTTTAACACCGAGTCTTTAGATGTAGACTATAAATATACTTCATAGAGATATTCTTTCTATTAAAAATAAACTTTATTTTTTTTAACTTTATTATTTAACTTCATTACAAAGAATATTTAAAATATATTTGATGTTCAGTTAGTATGAGATCTCCCAAGAGACATTAGTGGTGATATTAAGGCAAATAATCCAGTATATCCCTTTAATGCTTTAAAATATTCCATAGCATTTGCTTTAGGGAAGCAAAGTGTTTCTGCCAGTGTGATTTTATATTCCTTTTTGAGTTCATACTGAACTTCTTCTTAAAAAGTTTCATTTTGGCTTCTATTAAAAAGCTTAGTACGACTGGTGTGGCTCAGTGATTGAGCATCAACCTACAATATGAGCCAGGAGATCACCGTTTGATTCCCTATGAGGGCACATGTCCGGGTTGCAGCTCAGTCACCAACAGGGGGTGTGCAAGAGGCAACTGATCAGTGATTCTGTCTCATTGTTGATGTTTCTCTCTCTCTCTCCCTTTTCCTTCTCTTCTGAAATAAAGAAAAAATACATTTTTAAAGAAGTTTAGGTTTGTTTATGTGTTTTCTATTTTCTAGGTTATATTTCATATTTCTGGAAAAAGGAGCATCATCATTGTAGCCATTAGATTTAAAATTGGGATACATAGAGAGAAATTACAATATAACATAGTTGCTAGGAGTACTGATTCTGGAGCTGGCCCACATGGATTTTAATCCTGGCTCCACCACTTACTAGCTGTGTGACTGTGAGCAAGCCAAGTGCTTTAGTGTATTATATATAAAATAGGACCTACAATAATATATACCATATAGAATTGTAATGGAAACTGGATTAATATTGTAAAACAATTATAATCATAGTGGGCACATAGAAAACACCATTTCAGTATTTAATAGTGTTAAATAAGATAGTATAAGTTAGCTGTAACCAGGACTTTGTGTTTTTATTTTTCATCTGTGAAATGGAGAGATCTTTAACTCAAAAGGATATGTGATGTTATTGTAATGTCAATATTACCTATTACTTGGAAATTCTTCAAAATAAGGTTGGTAGAAGTTACTGTTTACTCTGATAATTATCAATGTAATCAGAATGCATTTTCAATAGAAGATAAAATAACCCTCAACTAATACATATAGTAGATCTTGATCAAACACTTTTTTTCACCTTTGTCCTAAATAGAAAGTGTACCTTTTTCATGAAAGAAGATATCAGATTAATCATTGTGACTCCACTAGCTCTTGACATAATAATTAATCCATATAAATTACCCATGTGATATTAAGAAAATAATTTGTATAATCTGTGATGTGAGAAATCAATTGTTTTATTATTTATCACCCATTGTGAAATTTTGATTTAATTTGGTTTGTTGAATATTATTTTACTGCTCTATTAACTTAATGATTTGAGCAATTATTTATAGTTTGTGATATTAGGTAGTAGATTTAGGGGATATTATTAGATAATTTATACTAAAATGAAGTTTGTGAATATTATGGAGAATTCTTCCATTTTAATCTAATGCTGTATACAGTTCATAATCTATAATAATAAAAGCATAATATGCTAATTAGACCAGACAGCCAAATGACTTTCAGGATGAAGCTGTGGCTGTGCATGAATTTTGTGCATCGGGTCTTTATATCCTTCTACAAAATTCATATCACACAGCTATGAATATAATTTTCCATTGATATATAGGTATAGTGGTTATCAACATTATTTAATATAGAATAGGTAATTTATAGTACTCTTAGCCCTCAGTTTCTTCATATATCTATGGAAGTTTTATACTGTTGCTGGAAGGTTCTAATGTCAAGTGAAGAAAATAAAATAAATGATTTGATGCTCTACCATTGTTTATTTTCTCAAGACCACTGCTAATTAAAAATCTAGGGCTACTTTTACTCTTAAAAATTCCTCATAGATGTCTTTGTTCAGACTTTATAGCAGGTGCGGGGAAACTTTTTTCTGCCAAGGGCCCTTTGGATATTTATAACATCATTCGTGGGCCAGGCACAATTATCAACTTAAAAATTAGCTGGCAATATTTGGTCAAAAATTTAACTCTCCTCTAATGTTTTGGGCAGGGCCAGACCAAATGATTTTGTGGGCCTTACGTGATTCACAGGCCAGATGTCCTCCAACCCCGCTTTATAACATGTCCTCCTCCTCATTGGGACTTACACTTTTAGTAGTGATGTTGATTTGCCTTTGCTCATGTGGATTTCCTAGTTTGTGTCTCTCTAGACATATAGATTGGGCTGGCCTAATGCTAATCAGAGTTTCTCCAGAATAAAACATATTATACAGGTGCACACTCTTATTTGTAATTCCTAATCCTAAATCTCTGAAAACAAACAAAAAAGTAACCTATTTATTGGCAAATCTGAACTGAATTGGCATTAAATTATTTATATTATTCCTCTGATTTATTGTGAATATTTACACATTTCATTACAGAAATATCAGTGGCTTGGTTACAGGATGCTTCCTCAAAGCCCTGATGGAGATGATATACTGGGTGGGGCAAAAGTAGCTTTAGAGTTGTATGTGAAACACAATTTATTATTGTATTGTCATTTATTAATTATTGTATTATTTTCCATATGAACAACTGTAAAACTACTTTCATCACATCCTCTATATAGTGTATTGTCCTAAAATTCTGCAAAATTCACGTATTCTGAAATACATTTGGCTGCAAAGATTGAATGTGATTTGTAATGATTATTTTTGATATTCTGTAATCATAAACACTTTGTGGTTAGAAATATAAGGTTTATATAAGATATAAGTTATGAATGTTAATCTTCATTTTTTACTTATACATTACCTAGTCATAATACATAAATTATTATTAAACTATAATCAATGGTTCCTATATTCTTGAAACAAATAATTTTTGGTATTATGGCTAGCCAGATTCTCATATTACATTTTCTTTTTATTTTTTAATCCTCACCTGCAGATATTTTTCAATTGATTTTTAGAGAGAGTGGAAGAGAAAGGGAAAGACAGAGAGAAATATTGATGTGAGAGAAACACGTTGATAGGTTGCCTCCTGCACGAACTCTGACCAGGACTGTGGCCAGGACTTAACCAAGGCATGTGCCCTTGACCAAAATTGAACCCAGGACCTTTCAGTCCTCAGGCCAGTGCTCTATCCACTGAGCCAAACTGGCTATGATTCATATCACATGTTTTTTTAAAAATATATTTTATTGATTTTTCACAGAGAGGGATAGAGAGTTAGAAACATCGATGAGAGAGAATCATCGATCAGCTGCCTCTTCCACACCCCCTACTGGGGATGTGCCCACAACTAAGGTACATGCCCTTGACCAGAATTGAACCTGGGACCTTTCAGTCCACAGACCGACGCTCTATCCACTGAGCCAAACCGGTTTCGGCAATATCACATGTTTTTAAGAAATAGTTGACTGGTTCCACACATTATTTACAAAGATTTAGGATGAATTTCAAATTAACATGAGCCACACAAATAGTTTTCTTGCATGTGAGTGCTGGCTCTTCATGGGATGTCTTGGGATGCTAAGATCATGTGTTGCTTCTATCATCAGCCTTTTGGGTGAAGTTTTATGACCCTCTCCTCACTTCCCCTCTTGAGTATGAGAGAAGAAATCTTTTTATGTGGAATGCATAGTTTTTATAGTATAATTTCTCATGTAGGATATATAAATTACAAGCCACCTAACATGTCAGTGAGAGATGTTAATATTAATTTGCTTGTAAAAGTCTAATTTTTAACTGTTATTTTTAGGCATTTACTACCAAGAAGTACATTCTTCATGAGATCACCAGTCTACAACTTGAAATACAATTCACCTGGAATGACTCGCTCCAATGTTTTGTTTACATCCCGATGAGGCCATTTGTGAAACAGAAGGGAAGATTGCCATGGGTTATGCATAATAGCAATTCATTGCCCCCAAATGTAAACATGCAAGGAAAGCAACCATTAAGTGCTGTTTTATGTATATATGACATATATATGTGTGAAATATATGCACACATGCACTCAAATAATATATTTATTATATAAAAGAATTAGAAAACTTGGATAGAAGACTTAACCTTTCTGGAAATGTAATAAACCATGTTAATATTGTTTACACAATATGTGAATGTCTAGAATTTGCTAGGTTTATAATTAATACCTTCCTACTAGAAATGGTATTTTTGCTGCAGAGAATATGAAACAGAACTGATCTTGAAGATCTCACTACAGTGTTAAATTATTTTCTAGATAATATGTATTTAACTTGAATAAACTCTAGTAGTATAATACCTTATTCTCTTACATACATAGTAGCCATATAAAAATGAGGAAAAATTAGAAGCCTGGAGTTGCTTTGATGATAGGAGTAAGCGTAAAACGGGTTTATCATGACTATAGCACACTATACAAATTCCAACTTGATTCTTCCACATTTTGATTCCTGTATGTGAAAATTTAGCCACTTATGATAGTGTAAATTTTCAGTAAGGATATAGTGAGACCATATTCTGATCTAAAATGGAAGACAATCCAGTAGGTTAAGAATAAACAAAACATAAACTATCTTTTATTTTCACTTTTTATCACGAGTTACATAAATGAATAGAAAATGATGATAATGACAGAAATCTTTTCAGATGATTTTTGTTATCTCATACTACTCATTTTTATTTGGAATGTATATTTCCAATGTGTATACACAGTCAAAAATATTTTTTCCTGTTCTTCAGCAGAAGAGTTGACCTTTGAAATTCATTTCAGTGTTAATGTGTCACACTTATTTTACGTCTTTCAAGGTTGAGATCAAATTACATTGCAAAGTCTAATACAGTTTCACATTGCACCATAGAAAATAATCTAAAATGTTGCAAATGAAGGATTCTGATTACTGGATATTATTAGTTGTGGTGTACCCTTAAGAATCAAATAAAAATAAAGTATGAAGTTTCTTCTAGTTCAAAGTTATTATGCATAAGTTTCATAGCAGCTTCCATTTCTTAGAGTTTCAAAATCAATGAGTGAGCTTTTCAGTTTTCTCTGAAAATATAAACACTATCATTGACATGTAGATCCTTAGAAATTGCAATATTCACTCTTTTAGAAGTTTGTTTAAACTTCTCCCCAAAGCTTTATTTTCTCACAGACACTAATTATTTACAAAATTCATGAGTGTTTTACCTCCTTTTATTATTCTAAAAGCTAATTCCAGTAAATCAAGAAATGGCCCAAATCAGAAGGAGCGCTAAGAGAGGCAAACTAGCCTTTTTTAATTCACAAGCTGGATAATTGGCAACCCCAAGTTGTAAGTTAGATCTACTTTGCTTTTAAAGCCATGTTCTATGTCTGGGTTAGACTAAAGTAGTGTGTTCTTGGAACTATTGCTAATGACTACCTAACATCTATATTCCGATAGATACTTTTTCTTGCTAGATGTATCCCAAAGAAGGATATTTTTATCCTTGTTGAAAAAGAGAATAAGGATGTCAGGATGAAGGAAATCACTGCGTAACCCTGAGTGTTTATGACTCAATTTTGTAAATTCTTAAACATGTGTTATAGGTTTTTTAGAAAAAATAATGCAAAAATAGGGATATTATAAGATCATTATAAGAATAATCACCAAGTAGGTGTTTTCAAGGAGTATTTTTAGTCATTTCTCAAATTCATGATTTGTCCATGAATGAGACACAATTTCAGGTGTCTGGTATATAATATCAACACAGTTGGCCTCTCACTTGCATTGGTTTAAATAAAAAAATGGCTATTTAATTTGCTAGAGCCAGTGCTTTGGAACTTTTGTCCTCAGTTGCACAGGAGTGCAATTTTTATTTAAGACATAAAAAGAACATGGAGATGTACCCTCTTCCCCTAGGAAACACACACACTTAGAATTTTTAAAACTCAGAATAAATTTAATATATGAAACAACCCAACTAATTTATGAACAAATTCATTTTGATAGCTACTTAAGTCCTTTTTTGAGCACTAGAATTTCTTTGCCCACATTTGCCTATGTATATTGATCTAGTTTGATATGAAGTTGTGAAAAAAGCCACATACTCAATATTTATATATACCACTGATATGCAGTGGTCTATGATTGCTGTCCTGTTTATTCCCTTTTGAGACACTAAGAAGAGAAGATACGGTAATAAGGCGTGGAAGTTTCTAGAGGACATAGAAATGTTTTAGAGGTAAAACATATTCCATAGTGTTTATTATAATTTTTTATTAATGGGTTTAAACATCAATATAAATAATAGTGTGGGTCTGACACTCTCTCCTAGGAGATAAAATAACTTATCTGAAAAATTCATAAGCTACTCAATTTTACCAGGTGTTTCTATTAGGGAATTTTATTTACTTACGATGAAAGCATATTTTCCTGCTAAGAAAATACCCATGATTGTTCTGTAAATCTAGGATTGGAATGATTTTCAGAATTGTATAAAAAGCAACCTTTTTATTTTAAATAATTTATGAACAGTTTTACATTCAGATTAGTTTTCATTTGCATAATCCAGTATTGTAGATTTGTTGCTATTTGCAATCTGTTGGAGGAAATCATTATTTACCAGTAAAACAATTTTATTTTACTAGCATTTATTTACCTTGTATGTATAAAAATGAAGTTATAACAGAATCAAATATGCTAATGACAGCAGTAGCCTCTGATTAGAACATGGTTAAATAGCACTGGTTATAAAATGCAAAGATCTATACACATTTTTGTAGATTCAGATACTAAAAGTTTCTGTTAATGCCTCTTCCCTGAAACTAAAATGAACCAAATTCAAGCAAATAACCCCAACCTTCTGTACAGCTAGATGACAGTGGGTTCCAGACATCAATACAAACATTTCAACCTTATTCTTTTTAGTTTGGAAAGTTCATGATTGTAGCGTTTTGTTATCCAAGTGGAAATTTCAGATGTTTTCATGTAAATTAATCCAAATGTTTTCTTCTTTAGTCTGTTGAAACCATTTTGTTTAAAAATTCTCTTGAAATCTAAACATACACATTACATGACATTTTAAAAAGTACCAAAATTAATAGTTGTATAAATGTTATTATTTCTAGTTTTCTATAAAGCAGGGATTCATTCAAAATATATTCTTTAAAATATAATAGATACCTTGAGAAGAATGACAAAATATTTTTTTTCTGTTCTATTTTCTGCTAATTTACATTTTGAATCTTAATTTGATTATAAGGGTTAAACAATAAAAAGTGTGACCACAATTAATGTGTTTCTGTGACTTGAAAATTTGCTTTCATCTTTAAATTGAGAGATTACATTTTTTTTCAATAACTGAATTAGTTATCTACATATTTTGGACTAATATTACTTTTGAATAGATTAAAAATTTAGAAATATATTAATGATCAAAATTTTATTCCTTACACTGTCCTTCCTCCTTTATTTCTTTTTCTTCTTTTCTTAAACTTTAAGTTCTCTTTGAGGTTTTGACTTTAGTATGGATAAAGACAAGAAAAGAAAAATCCTCAGTGACAATAAAAGATAATGTGTCATTGGATCTAGTTTAGTTTGCTGAGATTTTTAGGAATCAGGTTGAAGTCTCTAGGCCTAAAAAGCATTAATTGTCTGGATCCATGTGAACCAAGGTTAATAGCTATAGTCTTGAAACCAAAAATTGGTATATTGAAACTTATTTCACACTTTGAGATTGCTAGTGTGTGTGTGTGTGTGTGTGTGTGTGTGTGTGTGTGTGTATGTATGTGTGTGTGTGCTTTGTCATAAACGAGTATATGGCATATTGGAGGAAACTATTCAGGTAACACATTCTGCATTAACTGGGCTGTATTATCCAAGAATTGCAAAATAAAGCTTTTATTTCCCCCACCAATTAATTTGAAAACTGTTGTCAAGTCATCATTCAATAGACCGATATTTTCTAAATTAGTAAGAAAACATACCTTACAAAAGTAATCCTATAATGCTAATATTTCTCTTTCAAAGGCTAACACCGACAGTTCTTGGTCTTGAGTTGGTCAGTTCATACAGGAACTAATGTACTTTCTACACATCGAATATTCATAGCTTTGCTGAAGATTCTGGGCTTGAAGATTAACTTGAAAGCTATACATTTGCTACCATAAATCATGATTCAAATTACCCTCATGTGCTTTACTATCTGTATATGAATGCAAATGCTGTCACAGGAAATATGCTTGAAATGTCTACAAAATGTGCAATTAGTATGGCCTTGCCATGCTTCAGCATGTGCTATCTGTATGGTGAACTTATTTCAATTACTCTGATATGTTACTATAATAAAAAATGTTTAACATAAGAAAGCTGCGATATGTCATCAAATGATTATTTCTGTTTTACTCACACACACACAGTTTTTAGAAGTAAAAGATAGGCTCTGAATGAAGCTTTCAGGGTGATGGAATATATTTTCACAGTAATTTTCTTCTGCTGTACAGACAGCAATAGCACTATGGGGATAGCTTTACCTGCTATTAAAGTCAGGTAGAGTAAACAAAATTGGTATCAATTCCTTGCTTTGCTGGAAGGTACACATTTCTAAAATTTAGAAATGACACTTTTATATCTTTCTAGTATCATTGATTGCAAAAGTATTACTAATCTGAATAGATTTATGTCAGCATCTCAGCTATGAAGTTCATTTTGGGAGGAATTTATAATTTTAATTTGTTAAAATATCATATAAGAATCATATCCTAATCTTATTGCCATTCATACCATTGCTCTTTAAGATGAAGAAATTAGAATATTTTTACTTAAAAGAAAGAAAGCACTTTGCATAAAAATCCTATCATGGTAGGAACTTTAAAGCATATATTTTTAAAAGTTGCTATTTTTATAAAGTAAAAAAATTGTATGAAAGCTCGAAGTTGAATTTGTGATTTTTTTTTCATAAATTTTTTTCATAAACTGGTGAGGCCAACGTATGTGATATCTTCCTATTTTACTAATTTGTAATTTTAAAAATATATAAAATTTTGTTCACTTAAATGACTGCAGATCTTTAAACTACAAAATAAATCATCCCAAAATAATTCAAGTGTTAGGAAACTTGATGTAGTGCCTTAAAACAAAATTAGTATTTAGCTTTTTGTAGAAATATCATAGATCTTTAGAGAGTTATTTTTTGTGTGTGCATGTATTAATCCTTACTGGAGGATATTTTTTCCATTGATTTTTGAGAGAGTGGAACAGAAAGGAGAGGGGGGGGGGAGTAATGTAAAGTAATAAAGTAATGTAAAGCATGTAAGAGTGTGGTCAGAATGTGATCCAAGTCCTTATGAAACATTGATGTGAGAGGGTCACATCAATTGTTTGCCTCCCACAGGCACCCTGTTCAGAGAGGAGAGCCTGAAACCCAGGTATGTGCCCTTGACCAGGAATTAACCTTTGATCCTTTGGTGTGCATGCTGATGCTCTAACCATTGAGAAATACTGGCCAGGGCTAGAGAGAGCTATCTCTTAATGATTACTCATGTATATGTAGAATATGGTGACAACAGTGCCTATCCCCATGGTCATGTAACTTTTTAAAAAGTGTTTTGTTTTTAATTAAAACGTGTTTCTCTATTTTCTTATCTCCGAGTCTTTAGTATTTTAAGATGTAAGGGACTAGAATGTGCACCAGTTCCTAAAATGATTTTCCCTGTTATTGAAATGCATCTTTCCAGGGCTAGTTTTTCATTGACCAAACTTTGCAAAGTGCCCAACGAACACTAATTCACTCACTAATAAAATGATCAAGGCATTTATTCAATCATTTATTTACACACTGGTGGTATAATTATAAACAATGACAAATCCGGTGCAAAAATTTACTTGCCCTTGTAATTGAGAATTTGGTCATTTCCAGAGGAATATTTGAACCAGGGCTTCCCCAGGAAATGGCTTGACCCAGAAAGGATGGCCATAGATAAATAACCTTAATGGCACACATGAGTTACATTAGACATTTGCAACATAACTGTGATGTGAAAAGTAATGTAAAGCATGTAAGAGTGTAGTCAGAATGTGATCCAAGCCCTTATGAAAATACATTGATGATTGATTAGGTCTAACATGGTAAAAGACTGTCTTTAATGAAAGTCTAACATCACCTATAAGCAGAGGATAAAAACTTTGTATAGCACACAACATACCTAGAAGCACTTGTTGGCCATCTGAAAGTATATTCTCATACAAACAAAAAGGCCTGTTAGTTTCTGAAAAATCCTTCAAAGCTGGAATTGATTAAAAATTCGTTGTATTTTTTATGAGACAACATTTATTGTCCAACTTTTCTTGTATCTAAATTTTTCTTCAGCGACGTTAGACACGGAAGACTTAAGAAGTTTCTTCACATTCAGTTCTGTTTTGTCCCGAGTGAAATATTGCCAAACCTCCCTGTTTAAAAAATATACTAATCAGTATATTTAGGGAGTTATATACTAAATGGTATTATAGTCACCTAAGTGAAACTATTTCATTTGGTTATCAAAAATACTGAATTTTGTCTTAGAAAGCAGTATCTTTACTGTTTACAGAAATGATACCATTTGGATAATTTTATAGCAAGGCAGCCTTCAGTATTTTATATAATACTATAAATACAATTAGAATAAGCAAATTCCATATCTTATACTGAGAACCAGATGCACAAGTGGAGATAAACCCTTTAAGTACTAAACTGACAGCGTTATGATATAAACTTTTAAGGTTAATAACAAATTTATATAAATGCAGACAATCTCTGTTCTATGATGCTGTTGCTAGTGTTAGAATAAGATGACTTTGAAAAGGTCAAGAAACAATAGAATTTATTTATTTATTTAAAAATATATTTTATTGATTTTTTACAGAGAGGAAGGGAGAAAGAGAGTTAGAAACATCGATGAGAGAGAGTCATCGATCAGCTGCCTCTTGCACACCCCCTACTGGGGATATGCCTGCAACCAAGGTACATGCCCTTGACCAGAATCGGACCCGGGATCCTTCAGTCCCCAAGCTGACGCTCTATCCATTGAGCCAAACTGGTTTCAGCAATAGAATTTATTTTTTAAATCTATAGTATGCTGTTAGTAAAAATATGAATATATCTGCATGTTTATAATATATATGATTTACAGGAAAAATATTTGACATACTGCATGTGAAAAAATCTAGAGTATAGAAACTTTAATACAATCTAAGAAAATACCATTTCAACATATTGCCTCAATTTCATTAAAATGATGAAAATGTGAATGCCGAAAATTACTTAGTCCTTGGGCTGCAAAAATAGGTAGATCATCAATACCTAATATCATTTTAGCTCAGATTGGTGTTTGTTCAGTAAATGTTCTACATCATAATGGGAAAAGTACAAAGGAAAACTTTGAGGAAGAAATTGAAGGCATTTTTTAAAATAAGCAAATTTAGATAATTCCATTATGTCTTTAACTCTTCCTAAACTGAAGCACTAGACTTGTTGCTATTAACATTTACTATAAATACAGAATAAGTAGTTTCCTCAGAAATGAGCTTGATTATATATTTTAGCCTTAGGTCTCTGAGCCAATGAGTTCTTCTATTTGCTTTCTAATTTTTTTCCTGACCATTTCTAAGTTTCTACATTGATCTCATTCATTCCACTTTCCCCACATTGCCTGTTTTGATTGTTTTAATGAAAACATTGAGTTCTTATCATAGATGCATAGAAAGAGCAAAGGCAGGTTCTACTTTTGCATTATTATTTACACTTTGGGACTAACATTGTATTTTATGTTTTTAGCACTTTGGCTGATAGTAATGGTGTCCTATTTCTCTGAGAAGCAGGTAATTAGCAGGTTATGACTTTTCTAAATTCTGTGGCTACTCAGAATCTCATGTATACCCTGGTTAACCATGAGAAACCCACTCTAGACTAGAAATGCCTTAATATTGATCTTGCTTCTTTCTATATATGGTTAAAATTCCCACAACAGATTGTAGATCTGACCTAGGTACTTAATTATTATAGGGGGATTAGATATTTGTTTTTTTAAGATTCCATAGTACACAACACTTTACCCAAGTAATCCCAAGGCTTTGAGTAAATAAAGTAAAGCTTCTTACAAAGATTGGGTTACTATTATTTTCCTTAATTTGTTACCTTTCATCTACTTTACTGTTTAATTTTTTTTTATGTAATAGAAAGTACTGTGTAATAGGAAGCAGAGGATGTGAGTTCTGCTATGTACTACCAGGGAGGGATAGGGTGTTTGTTTTCAAAACATGAATAACAATGTTGTCTATGTGATAGTTACGTTGTGAGAAAAATAGGAATCACTAATCTCTGTAGTAAAGCATTGTCATTTACTCATACTTACAAATGTTTCATGGATGACCAGAAGACTCTACTTTGGGATTCTAAGTCTGGTGGTTGTCATTGGGTTTCAGGTTCCGTAATAATGAGACTAAGAAAACTTGTTACAGGTGTTCACCTCTTTCAATAAGAGCCTTCTGTGTATCCACTAAAATCAGTCTCAAGATCATGAAGTTAAAATTTATTCACCCAGCCAGAAATTTTATTTTATTTTTTTATTTTTATTATTATTTTTTAAATATATTTTATTGATTTTGTACAGAGAGGAAGGAAGAGAGATAGTTAGAAACATCGATGAGAGAGAGTCATCGATCAGCTGCCTCTTGCACACCCCCTACCGGGGATATGCCCGCAACCAAGGCACATGCCCTTGACCGGAATCGAACCCAGGACCTTTCAGTCCCCAAGCCGACGCTCTATCCATTGAGCCAAACCGGTCCCGGCTCAGCCAGGAATTTTAGATAAAAATCAAATAACACACCTACATCTTGTTATTCCCCAAAAAGATAATGATTAAAACAATGGCCTCTGATGCTAGATGACCTGGGTTTCAATCCCCAGAGGAAAATGACTCTGAGCCTCATATTCCTGCTTGTTGTAATAGAATTCATTGGGATAGCCCTATGTGAAGTTCTGAGCCTGGCAAGTGCCTCTCAATAAGTGTTTATTCTTATTTTTATTTCCATACAAGACCTTTCTCTACCATGCCCACAGAAATACAACTCTTGATACATTTTAGAATTGAATACTACCAAGCCAATATGGGGTTCTGAGCATGCTCCAGGTTCTTCCATCACACATTTACTGGCCTTGCTATCTCTTTTATTCCATTTGTAATGTAATTTCTGGACAAAGGGTCAGTGTAGTGGTTGGATTCCAAAAAAGTTCTAACCATCAAAATCTTTGAATAGACATTAGATAGAAAGGGCAATGAAACAATCTGTAAGGAACAATCCTTTGAGTATTTGTTCTGAGGAAATGCTAAATATAAACATCAGGGAATTACTATACACATGCCTTTTGTGAAACAAGAAGGTGTAGGGAAAAATTATAATAAAGGAAATATTTTAATTGACTATTCCTGGTTTTGTTCTTGATGCATATTGGTAGCCACCACAAACCACACAAGACCTTCCAAGGACTGCTAAATTGTGTTCTGGGGTATAAAAAGCTCATATTGCAGGTAGAGAGATACATAAACACTACTAGGTAATACTAATGCAGACAAGTGGTGCAATGGAGTGACAAGGAGATTACAGGAGTATAGTAATCATGAGTATCCTGTGTATAAATATTGGGAAGAGTTGTCACAAGAGAGCAGTTGAGTTGGGTCTTGAAGCGTGAGCAAGATTTCCACAGCAAACAAGAGTGATCTAGACACAGGGCATATCAGAAATGAGAGGGCCTGACCTGGGAAACAGAGAAGCTCATCATGGCTAACCATGGGTTTGGGGGTTGAGTGGATGAAGAGACAGGTTAGTGTCAAATTGCCAAATCCTTAGATGCCATGCTTAAGGGTTTGGATTTTACCCTTTATACTGTGGAATATGTGAACATTTTTAATATTAGGTAAGGAGATGGTGCCTGCATTTTGTAGAGTTGGTTGTGTTGGCTCTATGGAAGGGGGAGGAAGTCTGGGCTTTAGAGTGGTTTGTGGCCATAAAGTACTTAGTGAAACCAGACAACCAGTGGGTCTGGGATGCCTGTTGTTACTTGAGTCAATTAAGCAGAGAAAGAGTTGAATCATATATAAGCGTTTAATCCAATAATAGCAGCAGTATGGAAGAGAAGCAGGTCATCCACGACAATCTGCTTTGCAATCTCCCTCCCTCCTCGACACTCTTACAAGCCAGCTATTTATATAGGGAAGAAGGACAAAAATTACATGTGAAGGAAGAAATTATAGGCATAAGGAAGTAGGCAAGGTGTAATGGTTGCAGATTACATTCAATGTGGGCTGGGGATCGCAAAGGATGAGCAAAGGGCAGGCACCTCTGGGACCAAATTGTTTCAATAATAAGGTTGTTAATCTTTCCATAGTTGTAGGTAGTTCTTAGAAAAGGAGGATGGACTATATTCCAATGTTAGCTCCCATGTCTTTGGGTGTACAACTCTCAGGTTAGAATGTGTTTTTTCTAATCAGAATGGAACAATCATAGTTAACAAAGCGTGGTTAATATTTTATATTAGAGGCCCGGTGCATGAAATTCATGCACATGGGGGGTGGGCCCTCAGCCTGGCCTGTGCCTTCTCACAGTCCGGAAAGCCAGCAGTCAGACATCCTTAGCACTGTTGCAGGGGGCAAGAGAGGCTCCCACCACCACCACTGCACTCACCAGCCATGAGCCTGGCTTCTGGATGAGCTGTGCTCTCCCTGTGGGAGCTCACTGACTACCAGGGGAAGCTCCTGCATTGAGTGTCTGCCCCCTGGTGGTCACTGTGCATCATAGGGACTGGTTGGTCTGGTCAAGCAAAACTGGCTCTTCGACATCCCTCAAGGGGTCCAGGATTGCGAAAGGGTGCAGGCCAGGGTGCACGATCAGGGCCAGGGACGGGTTCAGGAGGCTGGCCAGCCAGGGAGGGACCACACGAGGGCTCCAAGGTATGTCCAGCCCATCTTGCTCAGTCTCAATTGGCTGGATCCCAGCAGCAAGCTAACCTATAGGTCTGAGCATCTGCCCCCTGGTGATCAGTGCACGTCATACCGAGCCATTGAGCAGCCTTAGCATAACATTAGCATATTATTGATTGAAAGGCCAACCAGATGACCAGACACTTAGCATATTAGGCTTTTATTATATAGGATAACTATATTTAATCCCCGCTATTCTATTTCTGCCTCTAACTTTAGGACACTGTGACTGGAGTGCAGGCAGGTTAGGATGGGGCCTACATTTAGGTGGAGTGGAGACAATACAGATTCAAGAGACATATCTGAAGGAGAACCCTTCAGACTTTTTGTCCTATTTTTTATGAGGAATCAAGGAGATAATTTAAGATTCTTTAAAATTTTTTTCATTGTCATGAAAAATCTTATTTAGTAAAAAATGTGTTTTCTGTCCAGCTTGCTTGGCTATGGCATGAACTTACATGTTGACAAACATATACTGGGTACTGGCTCTGTAAGTAATGCGCTAGTTACAAGAGAGACCTATTGTTAATAGAATAACATCCTCATTTTTCATGAGCTTAAATTCTAGAACTGGATAATATCATCTAAACAATTATAATGAAATGTGCTAAGGATATATAACAGAGGTATACATAAGTAATGCTACAAAATGTTCTATTACTGTTAGCATGGAACACCTCTATATAATGTGAGGGCCTACCTCTGGAATGGTCCTTATGGGCTTCAGGTATAATGGCTGAATTTTACAATATTAAACATGTATGTTTAATATTGTAGACTATAAATAGGAGCACAAGGAAGACAGAGGAGGAAAAAAAAACCTCAAGATAAATATTCTCTTTAGGAAGATCTCCTGAATTTTCATTTAATCCAAATGATGAGAGGTGTGCAGTGTAGTTGCTAAGGTCCTGTACTCAGGAGCTAAGCTTTTGGTCTTTGAATCCCAGGTTCATCTCTTCTCACTGGTCTAACCTTGGATAAATTTCTTGCTATCTTTTTCCCACTTCCTTTATCTGTAAAATGGAGATAATAATGATAGTAGTGATAGGATGGATATGAAGATTGATTTGTGCATTTTTGTGGCTGTCATTGAGATGAAGTCTCATTTTCATTCCCTAAAATAGAGAAACTTCAAAATCACTTTATCAGAGGTCAGGTTTTTATTCTATTAAATACCCTCTTGACTTAGTGTTTTTAAAATAATATTTTCGTTATGTGGTTTTGCAGTAGGTTCTGATTATATGTTGTATTTAAAAGTGATTCTCATATATCTTCAACTTAAAGACTTGTAACCTTGAAAATTGCATTCTCATTGATTGTTTTTTGCAGTATAATTCTTTCTGTTACTGATAAAATGATCTTCCTATCCTGTCAATAATATTTAGAAACAATCTTACATCACCAGATATCTTTCTATTATGAGGTTTTAATGATGTAGAGACACAGCTCTTGTTGCTTTAATAATTATATCTCTTCGAACATTGATTCATTTAAAGTATGCCTTTGTTATTAGTTTTCATTGTAAGGAAATGCATGGAAAGATTAATTTAAAAGGTTCTTTTTCTGCCCTCAATATCTGGTATTGTTTATCAATTGTGCAGCTGTGTTGTTACTACTAGTGACATTGTTGGAACTATCTAACTGAACTATCACTCAATTAGTCTCTTTCCACTATTTATATGTGATAATTAATTAATTAATGTTATATCTTTTTCAATAAAATAGTCACCTTGAGATATAAAATCTTTAAGTGGGTCCTGGGGGCATAGGCAAAATTGGAATAATAATCAATCAAACTTTCCCTTGATAATCTTCCCCTCACATTGTACCTAAAGCAAATGCCAGCTATCCAACCACGTATTATGAGTTCATTTCAGTGCCTTTGACATTTGTGAACTGCAGAAAACTGTAACACTTCAGAAGTTAAGTTTTCATGTCTTCTGGATGGGAGGCCCTGCTTGAAGGTTTCAGACACCATAAATATTGTTTCCTGAGGTTATTTCTCTGGAATTATGAGTAAGTCTTTCAAGGAAAAGCTCAAAAAAGTCCCTGAGTCCTGGCATCCAAAGATGAGTGTAACCCAACAAACACAAGAGGGGCTTCACTCATAAAACATCCTTTTCAAGTGTTTGTCAGATGTTTGTCTATATCTTTTATGTCTTCATTCATGCTGCTAAGCATCTCACTTTGTCCAGTCTCATATTTAAATACAAAGTCATGCAAAGTATTTTTTTTTTCATTTTGATTGAGTGTAGTATTCTAATAAGTAAAATATTTCCCAAAGATTTACTGAGCTCTCTTTGACCACTGTAGAGAACTGGTTGAAACTATGACTCCAGTGCCTTTCTGAAAAGACTCTTGATTTGGTGAGAGGAAATGAGGGAGTGGTAATTGTGAATAGTTTTCATTCCACTATAAAATACTATATACTTTATTTGTAAGTGGATTAAAGAGATGGGATTGATGCTCCTTTGTTTCAAGATACTATGCTAAATTTAGTAATATTTTTACTTATAAAAGTTTACTATGCAACGACTTTCCTTGAGAAGTCCTTCATTCAGTATATTTATCACAATTTTGTAGCTTTGTTAATTACATATCAATAGTCATTGATCGAAGAAAAAGGTCTTGTTTTTAACATGCTCTTTGGCATTTCTAGTGGGGCATTGGTAAATGTTTAACAACCAGTCCCCCAAACACACACACACACACACACACACACACACACACACACACACACCCTGATTTATATTGCTTGCCAATTTATGAAAGTGTAAATACTCCCACCATGACAGATTTCAATTATCAAAATTATGTCACTGAAACAGGAGCTGGGAAAGTTATGTGCCCAGTCAACTCTTTCAAGTTGATACTAGTTGACTCTAGTAAACTCCTGGTCCCGATTTTAAAATTTGTAATCATACATATTTTTATTTTCATGTTTGGACTTCTGCTACCAATTATGTCTACTCAGTGAATTTTCTTTTCAGATGGATCATAATTTGTTTCTGCAAATATGTAAATGGAGGGAGTATTTAGGAGACTATAAATATTTTTACCTTTCTTTCAGTAAATCAGGTTTTAAAACTGAATTTCTTTTAGTACCCTCCTAATCATTCTCTTTGGTACTTTGTTTATTACAAGATGAAATTTCCTTGGAGTCTATAAATGAAAACATTTGAATGTGTGTTCTGACTAGCTTTTAATTCACATCAATTTAGAAACTCAGAATTATTTAAAGCAGTTCTAGCTGTTCTAAGGTTTGCAATTAGCATTTTAATTTGTGTAAATGGCACTGGAAATGCTGTATCAAAATACTTTCTTTTAACAAAAAAACAAAACCTTTACAAAAAGTTTTAAAAATCAGTAGCAATCAATTTGAACAGTACTACGTTTTCACCAAGAGAGAGCAACATAAGCACACTTTACAGCAATACATTTACATAGCCATTTTATCTTGTAAGGGGTCCATGCTTTATTTAGGAACCTATTACTTTACCTGCCTCTGAACCTGATGAAGAAAGTGCATTAGTGAGGGTTATGGCAGTAGATGCAATCTATAGAGATAGTATTTTTGTCCTCAGACAATTTCTATACACTGTATGTTTCTTCTTTATGATTTCACTTATCATCCATGTTTATGAGTCTCTGCATAGACATTGTTTTTACTGTCAGAAATGGCTTTCAACAGGATACCTCTGGTATTATGAGGTTAAGTAAAACTGCAAGGATCTCAAATGCGTGAGTAGTAGAATTTTAATTTTTATATTGTTTAAAAATAATTAAGGTGCATAATATGTAACTTTAAGATAACTGGTATGTCTGGAAATTTTCTTTTGAAAGATTTTAGTACTACTAAATGTAATAGCAACTTTGAATATAAACAACTGATGACCATAAAGTGGAAGTGTGAAGATTTCACCAATAAATTTTGAACTTTTAAAGAATTATGATTAACTTTAATTAGAAACTTTGCTAGATTTTATAGCTTAATGTCTTGCCTTAATGATTTTAGGGACATTACTTCTTTCAAGGTTTTCATACTTCAGTAAAACATAGTGTCTTTAGTTTGCAGTAACTAAATATTAAACTTATATTGCTTCCATATAACAGCAGGAGGACCTGCAAAACATATCAGTTAAAACTCAATAAGGCCAAATCTTTAAAATGCCAGTGACAAATGATTTATTATACTTCTTACACTCATGTTTTATGGATCTTTAGATACTTGTCAGCCTCTGGGGGAGCATTTACCAGGGTAAGAAAAGCAAAGAAAAGATCATGGATACAAACAAATGCATTAGTTCTGTGTTTTTAGGAAAGTTATTTTCATGTGATTTTTAAATTTAGTAAAATTCAGGAAAAAAAATTTATCTAAAGCATTATTTTAAAAAATAATTTTTAGAAGTCTTTACAGGAAGGAGTTTGTGGATTAAAAAATTTCTGTGTAAATATTTGTATGGTTTCTGCAGCTTGCTGTTAGGAATGTTGACAGGCGTGTGTTAGGAATGTTAATGCCACAAGGAGGCAGTGCCCTGTGTCATTGTACCCCTGAGGTCTGATTCTACTCTTGTCCTAGTTTTTAGAAAACAGTAATTATATCTAAAACCCTGGGTCTAATTCTATACTTGACAGAGTCATCTCAGAATATAATAACTAGCTACCTAATTTATTAAAACAAAACAAAACCCACACACATCCCTAGATCAAATATGTGTCCTTATAACTGCAGAATCAAAAAAAAAAAAAGTAACAGAAATTATTCTACACATTTTAAAATACTTCATTTTAAGGTTTTGTTTTGTTTACACAGAAAGCTCCCCTAAAGAATTAAAACTATAAATTAAATGAATTAAATCTTGACTTATAGTCTTTAAAGACCCATCAATCAATCAATTGATCAAACAATCAAACAGGTATTTGCTGAGCACATTCTGTGTTCTAGGCACTCCTGTAAGCACTAGAAATTCGGTGGTAAAATATCTCTGCCAGGGTAAGAACATCCCACCGAAACTCTAAGGTTCAGGAATTGTAGAAAGTGGTGTGTATAAGGAACACAGGAATGGCTGGATTGTGATGAGTCAGGGAGTGTGGCACAAACATCTGGATTTTAGGTTTAGTGGAAAGTCACTGGGAGGTTTTAAGAAGAGGAGTGGTGTGCAGTCATGCCTTTTAAGATAGATAATTCTTACTCCTGTGTGGGAAATAGATTGTAGGATGGCAAGCATGAGTATAATAAGATCATCTGGGAGGCTACTAATATTGTCCAAGTAAGAGATGATGATTGTAGCTTTGATTAGGGTGGGAAAGAGAAAAATGAAGGTGGCAATTTAGAATATAGGTGGGAGTAGGGCAGATGAGACTTGTTGGGAATCAGTAAAGGGGAAGAACCAAGGATGTTTTAGATTTTTTATTTTATTTTATTTCACCGTCTGAGTGTAAGATGGTGCCATTTATTGACATGCGGAGGAATAGGTTATTAAGGGGAATATAGAATTTAGGTTTGGACATGTTAAACTTGATATTGGATTGTTATGTATTAAAAAATCATCTCCATATTCAAATTAGAGAAGTGAGGTACAGAGAAATTAAGCACTATCCCAAGATCACTTAGCCCAGTGGTTGGTAAACCACAGCTCGGGAGCCACATGCGGCTCTTTCGCCTCTTGAGTGTGGCTCTTCCACCAAATACCACGTGCGGGTGTGCATGTACAGTACGATTGAAACTTCACGGCCTATGCGCAGAAATAGGTTTTTGGCCTGGGTGAGTCTATTTTGAAGAAGTGGCGTTAGAACACTCAAGGGGCCAAAGAGCCGCGTGTGGCTCGCAAGTGGTTTGCCCACCACTGACTTAGCCTAATTTAGCCAGTGGAGCTGGTTTTAGAATCCAGGAAGCCTGGCTCCAGATTCTACACTTATAGCCCCTCCTCTGTCAATTTGATAGGCATGATAGAAGTTATTTAAAACGTCGTGAAGGGATGAGTTCGGTTTGGAAGAGAAGAGAGAGAGTAGAAAAGCACACAGCCACACCTGGGTACTCTGGCATTAGAGGAGGTGAAGGAGGAAGAAGGTAGTCGCTTAGGAAGAGACTGAAAAAGAGCAACCACTGAGATCAGAGGAAAACCAGGAGTATCACGGGTCATAGGAGGCAAGAGGAGAAATGATTTCAAGGAGTTGAAAGCTGCAGAGATGATGAGTAAGATGAGAAGTGACTGACCTTCACAGGACAGTTTCAGTGGAGTGGTGGGGAAGGAAGCCAGTTTAAATCAGGTTGAACATATCATGGCAGCACAGATACTGACAGGAAATTGAGAAGGCATCCCACGTGTTTATGTGTGTGCAATATGGACAGTGAATTGCATTCTGCTCTGAGGCAGTTGTGTGGACTCCTGAGTCAGACCTGAGTATTAATTCTAATTCTAATACTCGTCATCGGATGCCTTTTTATAACGTCTCTGAGCCTACTTGCTTCTCCGTAGCATTTGTTTCACCCAATTCTTGGAGGAAGCTCTGCTGCTTACCTCCTTGCTGTTCCTTTTGTAAAATGTTATTTTCTTTATCTGATATCTTTCAGAATCTCCATCTGTCCCCAACATCCTTATGAATAATCGCCTCAGTCCTTTATGCTAAGGTTTATATGTGTCTCTAAAGTTGCATTAAAGCTTCTTTGTGATTACTCACATTTTCCTCCTATTACACTGTGTGCTAATTAATGAAAACTAGTTTCCTGTCTTTTCATTTTTTGTGTGTCTAAATGACTATCAGATTAGGTAGCACAGAGTATGTATTCCAAAAATGTCGACTGAATGTCATTACTTTAGTCCCCCCGTGTGAGGTGAGCACGACGTCAGTAAGGGCTATTGTGAGGGTGGGGGTTAAGGAGGGGGCAGGGAACATCTGAGCTACACAGATGCTCTAGGTAGCAGCGCAATCAACGTTCGGCTTAGAGCCCAAATGCAGACATTTGACAAAGAGCTTCAAAACTTCTCCCATCACAGGACACAGACAGAAGGCAGCTGTCAGAACAAAGGACTGAAGGTCCCCACAGAGAGACTCAGACATGTGTGCAGGGGAAGAGAGACAGGGAGCTGAAGGAATCTACAACCATGGCCGGGGCTTCATAGAGTAAATTGGAGGGAGGCAACGTTTCAGAAGGAGCCAGTTGATAACGTGTTCACTCAGTACATTGAGTTAAGACTAAGGCTGAGACAATAATGAAGAGTTTCAAAATCAGAATGAATAATGAAGTGAATAATCTGGCTGATTTTAGCTTTTTGAAGTTTCACAAACTAGGGTGTCCCTAATGCACTTGTAAGACGTGGTTTCATTGTACTGGGGAGTTAACTATATAGAAGCATGAAATAAAGTCGAATGGAGATTGAGCCAGGCTTTTTCCAGATGTTATTTTCTAGGTACACAAATTTTTTTTTTTCTTCGAACTAATCTGCCCATTTCATGATTTCCTTTAAGGGTATTATTTTTTTTATTGCTCTCATATTAAATTGCTTTATCCCAGCCTATGTACTATTATATAAAAGAAATAGGTCAAGCTTAATGAAAACCATAGTGATATTTTTGCTATCAGACAATGAAAATGAATATAATCATCCCTCTATTATTTATGGGTTTTTATTATTATCATTGTATTTCTAGGGACTTATTTTGGAACAAAAATCTAAGCATATATATCTTATATTCATATCTATATGTAGATATAGATGAAAACCTCCAAGTTATACATAATACATAATATATATAATCTAAGTATATATATGTGAAATCTAAGGACCTATATCTCTATCTAAATCGCAGAAGGTGTCAGCTCAGAAGCTAGAGGGTTTGTTTTCCTGTCAAGTTCTACTGACATATCCTATATAATAAAATGGTAATATGAAAATTGATCAAACAGCAGAACAACTGGTCACTATGATGTGCACTGACCACCAGGGGGCAGATGTTCTATGCACAGGGAGAGTGCTGCTCAGTCAGAAGCCAGACTCACGAGGCCTGCGAGAGGGTGTAGGCTGGGCTGAGGGACTGCTCACTGCACCCCCTCTCCCCACTCCAGTGCACAAATCTCTTATCCCTTTAATTAGAGGCAATGGGCCTCTAGTAAAGGGATAAAATCACATAAGGGCTACATAAGTAATAAAGAAAAAAATTAAGTGTGTATAAAAATAAGATTTAAGATCAGGGGACATAAAAATCTAGGAAATATAATGAATAAAATGTACCTTCACTTAGCTCAATTAGGAAGAGAAAGGAGTATGAAGAAATTTGAAGTGGAGGGAGGGACAGAACCAAAAAAGAAATAGACTTCTGGCACTCATATGAAGAGCTACAAAGAGAAAGGGAGAATAAGATTTCCCCTCAAACACAGCAACACAACTAAGAATGCAAAGTTTAACATGCACAACCCACTTGTCAGTTAAACTGAATAACAAAAAAAGAGAACACCATATAAATACACTAAATAAAAGAGATTATGAACTCCCTAAAGGCAAGGCTTGTTTCTCATTTATCTTTGTGTCTTTAGCTCCTAGCATGCCAATGTGAGTTCTTAGTAAATGTTTGTTAAAATGTTGAAAAAACAGAGAAAACAAGTTTTTCTTGAGTACTATCTCTTCTTGTATTCTACAAAAGTACTTTTCAACTATAGGCATGAGTAGAATATATCAACTATAGTCACTCCTCAAGGACTGTAAGTGATTAACTGAATATTGAAGGTTTTCCACCTATGCTTTAGCCTATTGATATGGCCAGCAATGCAAGGAAGGAGTTGTGACTTGGAATTGTCAAGGTCAGCATTGATAGCTTCTTTACTAATCAATACAAATACATTTCAGAAAACCTGGAAAACCTCTCTGAAGTTGAATGAGATACTTGCCTGTGAATTTCTAGAGAAGTAAAGAATGCACAATGATATTTTCTATGATCTGGTAAATTTCAGGTATTTAAATTTGGAAACTGAATATTACCAAATTCATATATAGGGACCCTAAATTCTTTTGTGGACTTAACTTAATTTTGTGGACTTAATTCATATATAGGGACCCTAAATTCTTTTGTGGACTTGAATTCTTCATAGCCATACCATTTCTTTATATTCTCCTTTTTCTTGTTTTTGTTTTGTTTTGCTTTTTTGATAAGACCAGGAACCTATTTGATATAACATAGTTTCTAGTAAATAATATAGTAAGCCCACCCACTTTTCCACATGTTCAAGTTGAGAAAGGGGGTTTGACAGATGGTGTGGATAACTTGTGATTAATAGGATGTAAAATTATTCTGGCTTATTCTGCCTTTCCAAAATTGTCATGTTTTATTTTTGCTATTAGTATGATTTTTATCCTAGGTAAGCTGTAGTAAAAATAAATAACATATGCATGGTGTTTTGGCATGTGGACTGGTAAGGGTATTGGGTGAGGTGAATCAGTGTAAGTCACGTATCTGGAGTCTGGTGGCTTCTCCTTCCACAATGATACTACCACCTCAACATCCCAGGGCACTGTGTTGGGGATTTTCAAGTGTCTTGAGCTGTCAGAGGGACAGTTAGAAGGAGTGGATTGTCCTTCCAGTGGAAAGAATGATTTATATGAAGTTGAATATGTAAGCATGGTCACCAGGTGATAAGTAGTCTTCAGTGGCTAGTAGGTTCTCCCTGGATGGTAATAGAACACCTGATGGAATTTCTCAGCACAAATGATGTACAGTGATCCATTGGATGCTCTTAGAATGGCCATGGAACAACGTGATGGAACTATATGGAACTATAGTGCTAGTAACACAAGGCCTTTGCTCTGGCAAAGGCTGGGCAATTTCTGGGTGCCCAATGTTCTTCCTCCAGACTCAGATCCACATCTTGGGCCTCACTGACCTCTTCCTTAGTCAGATTCTCCTTCATTATCATCTTCCCTCTTCCAGCCCTCTGAATCTTTATCTCCCCTGGGGTGCAGTAACCCAGCTCACTAGTGCTCATTCTAATTAGTGTTTATGGCATAAACTTTATGTCCTGAGCTCCTCCAGTGCTTTGCCTTTTTTATTCCTTGCCCAATTCCCCAAATCATGCATTTAAAATTTTAAATGTCTTTCTTTCTTGCAAAATAACCTGGTTCTTGCAAGGAAAAGTGTTAGCTTTCACACTCTGTCTCTGCTATCAGTTTCACAAATCTACTTTGAAAAAAAAAACAAAAACTGAGCATGGACTACTTGTTGCTTTTCTCTCTCTCTTTATTTCTCTTATAACCAGGATGACCTCCCAGAGACAAAGAAGGCTGTTTTTTATTGAGTGAAGGGGGCATCAAAATTTTGGGGCGGGGACCTCGGGGGCTTATGGAGGCACCTGTGTAGGAAGAATGAGCAGCATTAATGCAAGATTTTGCTCCCATCACTTGGTGTCATGAAAATATGAATATTCTATCAGCAAGTGCTGGTAGTAGCCAGGCTCTAGGCATTTTGATGAAACCCATGTGCGTGTGTGTGTGTGTGTGTATCATAAGAAGTTAAGTGGAGAGTGTGATAAGGGGGCTCTGAGGAACACACAAGTAGATCCTGCAGGAAAGCTGACCCCTGAACATACAGATGGCATGTAAATAGGAACAGCCAGTACAGAACTATAAGCAGCACCACCTAAGAGAGAATATTTGTCCCTTTGGCTCCACACTCCTTCTGTTGCTTTGACTCTAGAAAAGCCAGGGCAGGTGGTGAAGAAGAGAGAGGGGGAGCAAACAGACCATGCTCACTTCTCCTCTCCCGGAGCCCAGAGACAGACTGGGCCTGAGCCCACATTAGGGGAGGGAAAAAGAGCTTTGA